CTCTACAAAGGCAGCACCAGGACTCGGAGGCACCCGGGAATGAATAAGTGGTAGGTTCCAGGTCTTTGGCTCCTTGGCAAAGGCGCGGGATCGCCGGAGGGTGTTTTGGTTGGGAAGCCACAACCCTTTTTGAGCAGGGCCATTTCGGGTCACGTCACAGTGGTGAGGGAGACGACAGAGGGTGGGAGTCTCTCGGTTCTACAGCCGGGGGGGGAGGGGGAGGAGGACACGGGGGCAGGGGTGAGCATGGCAGGAGACTCAAGACACCGGTGTCCGAACAAGTGCCAAGGCCTCAGGGTGGCCACTCACGTTCGATGACAAACACGTTCGCCTGGGAACGGATCCACTTGACTTTGGGGCTCTTGGACAAGTGGTTGCGGTCGGGGTCGTTGCTGGCCCGGCACTCGTACATGCCCGAGTCGTCGCTGGTGAGGTTTGTGATGGAGATGGTGCTGGTGGAGTGCAGGTTGTAGGTGGCGTTGATCCTGACCCGGTCCTGCCGTGCTCCATCCCAGAGCTGAGCATAGGTCTCATTGGGCTCGTTGCCCTCAAACCACCACTGGATCTCGGGGATGGGGGTGCCAATGGCCTCGCAGTACAGCTCCACGCTGTCCTGAGTCAGTCTCTTTTGAGACAGCGGTGACTTTATAAAACCCGCTATGAGTTGAAGAGGTATTAGTGCAAAGGGTTAGCGCAAAGCAAGAACCCACCCGCTACAAGCAAAACACATTGAGCCGCTGAGAAGAGGCCACGCGCCATCTTCGGATGGGAGCAACTCTTCCTTCCCTCCCTCCCCTCCCCGCTGAGCTCAGACAGGGACCTTAAAGCTCCTCCAGCTCCAACCCCTGCCATGGGCAGGGACACCTTCCACTAGAGCAGGTTGCTCCAAGCCCCTGTGTCCAACCTGGCCTTGAACACTGCCAGGGATGGGGCAGCCACAGCTTCTCTGGGCACCCTGTGCCAGCGCCTCAGCACCCTTGCAGGGAAGAACTTCTGCCTCAGAGCTCATCTAATCCCACCTTTTATCTCGGGCAAGGCAGCTCTGCCGAGTTAGATCAGCAATAAAGAGATTAGAAGCGCGAGGAGCACCCACAGGCTTCAGGACTGCGGCTCTTGGCTCTCACACTGAGTGGCCGGGGGGGTTCAGCCTTGGAAAGCACGGTCCAAAGGTAGGTCTGGGAGCCAGTGGCCTGCACAAGGCCAAGCTGCCGAGTTCTTTGGGCAACCAGCCCTGTGGTCACCGGGAACAAACTGCTCCGACCACGACACGGTGGCCGGGAGAAGGGCAGGACCCAGGGGAGCCGTTCCCGAGCGGGCGGAAGGGAAGCTGAGGCACCACCACTGCTGGACAAAGCATCATCCGTGGGTCAAGGGCACTGACGTGAGGAGCTCAGGGGTCAGAGGAACTAGTTAAGGTTGTGGCACGTCCTCCCTGTGCGCTGGCTAAGCTTCAGATGCGCCAACACGGCTTTACGGGGCACCCCGCACCCCAGGGACCTGAGCTTCACTGTGAACCACAGCTCCTGGTGGTGCCCAACCCTGCCTTCCCCCGTGGTGCTCAGGCACCAAGGAGGTGGGTTTGGGAGCGAATTTGTGGCGTTTCGAAGGCCTGAAGAGGCTGTAATAAGAAATCAGGATTTCAAACCCAGGTTGAATAGCTTTTAATAAGAAATCAGGATTTCAAACCCAGGTTTGCTCAGAAAACACAGGTCAGTCCGCAAGGACGCTCCAGAGCCCTCCATAACTCCGTGCCACAGCTCTCAGGGCAAACAATCAGCTTTACACACTAAACATCTTAAAAGGCTGGAAGAATAAGGATGAGGAAGGAGAGACCTGACCCCATCTGCACTGAGACTGATCTTAAAGGGGAGCTGATGGAGTTCCAAAAGTCCTTTGGGGGTATCAGCTCTGAGCAGCTTTCTCATCTCCAAGTTTCACTTCCAGAGGCAGCCCAAGCAGGTTGTTATACACCACAGGCCTGTGATTAAACCCCCTCATTTTGAGTACTCGCAGAACCTTGTACACCCACGTCCTGATTTCAAACAGGATCTTGTAAAGATCAAGGGTTTGGGGCGGTTTTTTTGCAGCTACAAGGTGATTATTGTTTGCTGACAAAATAAGCTGTTGCAAGGTTATTTGCTCCGAGTTAGAGGGCACTTCATGCAGTTCAGACAGGCTCAAAAGCTTGGGCAAGCAGCAACAACAGCAACTCCCGTTTGCATTCCCATGGGATTAACCTCCCCTTTGCTCCCAGCACAAAGCAAGCGGAATGCCAGGCTGGGAAAGGCAACTGCCTCCGAGCGCAGCCACCATCGACTTGCTGGAATCGATCGGAGCTGCTCCATCCCCTTCCCAAATGGTGCCGGGAATGGAACCAGCTCCCAAACCCAGGCCATTGAGACGGAGCCCCCTCCTCCTGGGCGCAGCCCGATGGGTGCAGGGACATGGGAGCAGATAACGTTGTCCCCAGTCACCTTCAGACTAAAAACAACCTCCCCCGGAGCAGAGGGAGGAGCCCTCGTGGTGTTCAGTGTCTCTGAGCCCTGCCCCAGGGTTCACTCTCCTCCCGGGCCTGACCTTTGTTTCTTGGCCTCCGAAGGGGATATTTGAGGCCCTGAAGCTTTTTGCCATTTCCACTAATAGCTGTAAAAGCTCCTCTGGCACAAGCAGCAGTCCCAGCCCAAGCACCGGTCAGAGGCAAGTGCTTGCAGCCAGGGTTCTTCCTCCTGAGGGCAAGGAGTTCAACCACACACGGGGTTGTGTTGGAATGGACCTTAAAGCTCCTCCAGCTCCAACTCCCTGCCATGGGCAGGGACACCTTCCACTAGAGCAGGTTGCTCCAAGCCCCTGTGTC